TAGGGTTTAAATATAGGGTTTAGGGTTTAGGGTTCAGGGTTTAGGGCGGTTTAGGGTTTAAGAATTCTTGAAGACTGTTTAAACCTGATGTTGGCCCATTCTCAAGGTATGATACGTAATAAACTTGAAAAAAATTATGAAGATTTGATATATAATGAACTTGAAAATTCTGTTCGAGAGCCAGGAAATCGCCTCGAAGTATCCTTGAGGATGCTGTTATCACGGAGGCACAGGATCTGCTGCATGCAGACAGGGTAGCTGTGACTCGCGCGCAGGCGTTGCTTGACTGTCAGGATGTCCCAATCTCGAACCTCCTCTCTGCTCCAAGCATGCAGCTCTTCGCCAGACATACCTGGGCAGTAGTTTTTGGGCCTTATGTTCAGGAGGAGGTGCCCTGCCTTCCAAAAACAGTAAGCCTCAACAAACACCTCGAAAACAACTCCGTATAAAATCCTGATAAACTCCTCAAAACGCCGGGAAAACCCACACAAACCCCAAAACAACCCAGGATCACCAACAGCCACCCCGCTCCGCTCGAGCCAAAACCCCAGACCGAGATACTCCACACGCGGAAGGTCGGATGCGTCGCTTCGGGAGGCTCCGCCATTTTCTCGAAGCTGTGGCTCTTGTGATAGTCGTGGGGCTTTGGGCTTCTAGGGGATTAGCACTCATAGCTCTGATGGTTTTTGTGTAGGGCTCAGGGGTGCAGGGTTTGGGGTTTAGACCCCAAAAACGCCAGTCTTGCAGGCTCCAAAAAGGCTCCAAGTAGACTGACATGGCCTGATAGTTAGGTCCAAAAATCTCAGCAAATCGGTCCTTCTAGATTTTTAAAGATAAGTCCTCTATAATCGGTTCCAGGAACGGGACTAGATGGTTACGTGGCTATGTGCGGATTTAGGTTAAATCTGGTTCTCAGTCGGCGAGTCGGCCCTCCTGCAGAAGCCAGCGCTGCAAGCACTACGAACTTCATACGGAGCATACTTATAGCCTCCATTGTAGTTCTTTTTTTTGGTTTAACCAATTATACATTAAGGAATTTATAATTATAAGGTATCCCCCAAAAAGAACTGCAATGGAGACTATAGGTACAGGCAAATACAGGCAAATAACAAGGAGATACCTGGATTGCGGCACCTCTTTTTCAATCCAGCTGGACTGTCACGGAAACAACAATCTAGCAACAAAGGCGCAAGTAAGCGAACCGACAACAACAACAACTACGTTTCAAGGTCTAGCTCCATAAAGATCCAAGTATATACTCTAATCTGACATCATCCACATTTTCTCCTGCATACTACTAACCACGTTTCTACTCTAAACCCTAAACCCCAGCTACGTGATTCTTGTACTTTGGAACTATCGTTCGAAACCAAAGGCGCGCCAAAGCCATGTTTGGGACTCTAATGTCGGGGCCTAAATAACTAATATAAAGGACCCCAAAACCCTATTCTAATCATTAAGGCCCCTACCTTACGTCCATACCTTATAAAATCCTTACTATGTAACTGGTTAAACCAAAAAAGGAACTACAATAATGGAGACTATCGGTATGTCCATAAGAGCTGAACCCTAAACCCTAAACCCTATGTTAATCCCTAAGCCCTAAACCCTATTCTAATCCCTGAACCCTAAACCCTAAACCCTATTCTAATCCCTAAACCCTGAACCCTCCATTAGGTCCATAAGAGCAGAGCCCGCGCTTCCCATGCAGGGCCTCTGCCAGCGATGCCACTCACAGTGGCCAGACCCGGGGACTCCCTCTCGCGCCCTCTTCACATGGTCCTTGAGAAGTGTCGGGGCTTAGGGGTTTAGGGGTT